TCTCCATCAAACAGCCATTGTTCTTGTCTCTCCTTCTTCTCTCTGTTACTCCCCAGCGTCCCCTCTAATCTTGTCTCTCCTTCTTCTCTCTGTTACTCCCCAGCATCCCCTCTAATCTTGTCTCTCCTTCTTCTCTCTGTTACTCCCCAGCGTCCCCTCTAATCTTGTCTCTCCTTCTTCTCTCTGTTACTCCCCAGCATCCCCTCCAGCGTCCCCTCTAATCTTGGTTTTTCTCTATGCTCTATTTGTGTTGCTCACGCCGTAAAGCTCCGACCCCAACTCCAACTTGGCATGTTTTGTTGTTTTTGTCGGACAGCTGGTGGAGACCTCCCAGCCTGGCCAGTTCAAACTGTGGGCTCTGATTGGCTCCGACCTGCACGCCATCAAGTTGAACGTTCCGCGGACTTTCTATGTCAATCAGAAAACGCCCAAGGAGGGGGAAGGAGCAAGTACGTCCTTCTTTTTTCTCTCCGTCTGTCTTGTTTATGTCCTTCTTTTTTCTCTCCGTCTGTTTTGTTTATATCCTTCTTTTTTCTGTCAGTCTGTCTTGTTTATATCCTTCTTTTTTCTGTCAGTCTGTCTTCTTTGTGCTCCTCGTTCGTCCATGTTAGGAACATGAATGTGTAGAGATAACTGTGGGTGGTTGGCGGGTGCTCTGGTGTGGTTTGCTCTTTCTCTCCTGTCAAACATCTATCATCCTGATCTCTCCTCCTTTTTTTGTGTTTGTTACTCTCTTGTAACACCTCTAATCTTTGGCACTTCTATGACTTTAGTGTGTTACGAGAGCCGTAAAACTCTTACTTAAACTAAACAACTTAATTTAGGAGTCGGGCTACCTCTACCCAGCCTGTTTTTATAAATAGTTTTGTTCTATCTTTTTGAGTTGTGATGGTTCTACTTTTTTTCTTTTTTTTTTCCAATGAGGCAAGGTAGGCCTATTTAGTTTATTTCTTTGTTTGTGTTCAAAATTGGTGTGGTTCTTGCTAATGTTTGTTTCTGTCCGCCCTCCCCCATTCCTTCCTCCCTGTCCCTCGTCGTCCCCCCTCCCCAGTGTGGAAAAGAGTTCACCGCACGCTGCCGCGGTCCCACCCGGCCTACCACCTGTACCAGTACGACGTACCGGAGGACGTCTATCTCAAACACATCAAGTAAGCAGCCAGCCTCCTACGTCATAAATAGCATTTGTATAGCACAAATCCCCGCTCAACAGCAAGCTCTATGCGCTTCACAATCTATACTACATGTATCCATGTATTAGTATTACCCCAGCAGACCTGAGAGCATTCTGAGATAACCTCAACTTCCTGGAAAGCATACAGTGCAAGCTGCCATTTATAGACGCTAAAACACTAACATACTGACAAGTTCTTTTGCTGTCTATGGCCGGGTACCCATTCCCACCTGGGTGAAGTGAGGACAATTCGTGTAAAGTGCGTTTCCCAAGGACACAACGTCGGACCTGCGGCTCGAACCTCCGAACTAGCAATTTCACGATAATGAGTCCGGTAGCCTGACCACTAGACTACAGACATCTCAGGGGTATCGAATGTGCCGCAAAACACAACGAGTGTTATGTCAGTGGTGGGGGAGGTGTCAAAAAGTCCCACTGGTTTTGTTTGTGAAAAACGATGTTTGTGAGACAATGTTCTAGCAACAGCTGCTAAAGGAAAAGTGTGTTACAAAAGCTGAACTTTGCTGTTACAGGAGAGTTTGCTCGTGTCTGGGCTGGTGTAAAGTGACACTTCTGCATTTGTCTGTTTGTTCATTTGTCCGTTTGTCTGTCTGTCCCCAGCGACATCACAGCAGACCTCTCCTCCCCCGACGTAGAGGGCGTTTACGAGACGCAGGTTCCCCTGGAGTTCCGCGCTCTGGCCAGGTTGGGCTGTGTGTGTACCGTGGGCCGCGACTTTGCCCGCTCCATGGAGGGCCGGGTGAGTTGGCAATTTGGGGGTTGTGTAAACCTCGGTTTCTTTTAATTTTATTAGTTTTTGTTTGGTTTTTGTTCTTGTTTTGAAAAGTTCCGGTTGTTTTACTATTTGACAAAAATTCTATCTGAGCAGGGACAGCCTGAACTTTGAACCTTTGGAGTGGGGCGCGGTTTGCAAATGTTTTATACAGGTGGTCGTTTTTACAGGTGATTGTCTTATACAGGTGGCCGTTTGTACAGGTGATTGTCTTATACAGGTGGTCGTTTGTACAGGTGATTGTCTTATACAGGTGATTGTCTTATACAGGTGGCCGTTTGTACAGGTGATTGTCTTATACAGGTGGCCGTTTGTACAGGTGATTGTCTTATACAGGTGGTCGTTTGTACAGGTGATTGTCTTATACAGGTGGTCGTTTGTACATGTGATTGTCTTATACAAGTGATTGTCTTATACAGGTGGTCGTTTGTACAGGTGATTGTCTTATACATGTGATTGTCTTATACAGGTGGCCGTTTGTACAGGTGATTGTCTTATACAGGTGGCCGTTAGATCAGGTGATTGTCTTCTACAGGTGTGTGTTCTATTTTTCAGGAAACGGACGTGTTTGATCTGGACAAGCTGACGTTCCGCAGTGTGGCCCAGTTCCCCTACCTCAGCCCGGGCACCATCAAACATCTCTATCTGTATCAACACAAGTCGTAAGTCTCTCTGTCGGTCTGACTCTCTCTCTCTCTCTCTCTCTCGCTCTCTCTCTCTCTCT